TATAGTAATATATATTCAATAAAGAATAATATGTATAATAATCTATCTATCCATCCATCCATCCTTGTGTTTTAAGGTACCTAAAAAGATATTTAAAAGTATCTAAAATACACTAATAAATTTATTATTTTTTATATTATTTACATATTCTTTTTTAGGTACCTTGCCATATGTATTGGTTTACTGCTTGGTTAGAGGAAAGTGCACATTCTTTACAAAACCCAGCAATAATTCTCCCTCAAAGAGCTGCTCCATGCAACAGATGTTCAATCAAGAACTGAAGAGGCCCCAAAAAGGAGAGCAGCACATTATCTCAAACACCAGCAATGCCGTCCCCCAACTAGCTCACAATTTCAGTTAACTGCCACAGCTCTCCTTGGCAGTTTTCACATGTACTTTCTCACAGTATGAGTTTTTTTTTTTTTAAGTTTTTTTAGTCAATTCATTTGTGATGTCCTGCATTCTTTAAACAAATGCACATGAACTGCACAACAACTACAAGAGACCTGTAAATAAGACAAGAGATATAATTAAAAGAACAAATAATGAGATAACATCGGAGCACAGCATCACCTTTGCAAACTCGCATGCTAAAAGACTGCCATATCTCATGAAGCACAGGAATGTGGGCCTAGCATGGACTTGTATGTACTAACCAGTTTTGGTCCAACCATGCACAAAGTTTGATCACATCTACTTTAATTAGCCATGGAAACAGAGAATCCTGAACTCCCGAATACCGGAACAAAGAACATTTAGTGGCCTTACTGAACGTTTTATTTCTAAAGCATGCTGTAGATAATCTTTTTTTTTTTTATTATCGTTTTAACTTCACGAGTCTTAAACATAACGCTTCTGATGGGACACTCAAACATTCAGAAGGAATATTAAATTAGTTAAATTCATTAAATTTAATAATGAAAACCATCTAACAGCTTTAAACACAGCAAGCTAACTAAAGCACTGCTAAAAGTGTCACCGCTAAAAGAAAAATATTATCAAATCACTAATAAGTTTTTGGATGACTAGTCCACTTTTGTAACCATTGCAGCTCTTATTTTAGTCATTTCCTCATATTTATTATTGAATTATATATTGGCCATTGAAAAAAAAATTATTTCCGCTATACAAGTTGATATGAAACAGAAGTTGTAATCGTCTTCCTATTGTGAGGCATATCTGAGTGAAACGGCTTCTTGAATGAGAAAAAAGTAGGGCAGATTTAATTTGGTCCTTCGAGAATTGATTTGATCATTTGATTGTTGTCGTTTGCTATTTCTGCGATCTCATGTGAGTGACAGGTTGTCCCACCTTTGCACCATATGTTATCAGAGGAAAGGAAGGGGAAGTTACTTCAAATTTTATTACGAGGACATATGAATTCTTTAAAAAAAAATAATGATGTGCATGGATGAATAGTTTATAATAATCACTGCAATATTACATTAGTAAAAATGGTCAAGTACTCATGCCATATGTTTACCAGCTCAGCCTCATCATTCTCCATGCAATAAAACAGAACAGTTGCGGATAAAGAGGAACTCTAATTTCCATAGAATAGAAGAAGTTAAAGCCATAAAAGATCTCAGTCCCTTGTTCGAAGTCACGCACAGAAAAAGAAACATCCAACTTGGAACCCAAGTGAAGAAAAAACAGAGCAATACATTTTGTGGACCCAGAATGCAGTTGAAAGCTTTAGCAAGAATGGGTTAAGAAATAAAACAAGAATTGTGCAAAATCTGGGCTGGGCACATACAGATCCCTCTCACTCCAGTCCAGAGGACCGCAGAAAGGAGCATGTTAGTGTTGTAAAAAAGCCTGGGAGCCGGAACGGACTGGACTGGAATTCCACATCTGCTGTTCTCTGCAGCGAGCCCCTGCGGCTCAAACAGAGAGAGAGGGAGAGAGAGAGAGACAGAGAGAGCTAGAGGCCCCAAGCTGAACACTCCCCCTTAATCCCCTTCGTCAGGTCTGACCCCAGAAGAATAATCCAAAAATTCAAAGAGGAAGATGTAGAAATAAGAGAGCTAGGGCGGAGAGAGAATGAGAAAAATCTGGAAGACCATTCAGTGGCAGCTAATAAATCTGAAACACAGCAAGGCAATGAGAAGTGAAACCTGGGTGCCTTAAATACACAATACAATCACACTGATCCCAGTACTGCCGTTTAACTGTACTGTATACAGTATAGAGGGGGGGGGGGGGGGG